TGCGGCCGGCAGCTTGACTCGCCCTAAGAAGGCCGTGCCGGCCGGCTGCGGTGATGAGGAGGAGGAGGAAAGCATCATGGACACAGTGATGAAATACCTGCCAGGCCCGCTGCAAGACATGCTGAAGAAGTAGGTTAGTGATCTAGCTAATGCTAATGTTATCTAGCTTAGTTCATAGGCTACGTTCACATGGTTGGCTTAAATCAGGTTTTTTTTTTTGTTTCTTTTCTTTTTGTTTTTTTTTTCATATACAAGTATGTAAAAGTGAAAATATTGTGTGGTGTTAAGACATTTAAGTTTTACTGTGGGGAAAGGAATCAAATGTGAACCAGCAGTGTGAGTTCCAGCCGTTACACTGAGCTAGACTGACCTGATAGCCAAGGGAGCATTAGCTATGTGAAGCTTAAGCAGCTACGTGAAAGCAGAGGGGCTGAACACCGTGTTAGATGGTTTAGTCTTCTGGTCTGGGAGGTTTTGAGCTCCTTTTTTCTTCTCTGTGATAGCTGCAGAGTTTTATCATGGCACTGAAAAATAATCTTGCCCGCCATGATGTTCATTCAATTTGTACATAAATAAACAAATACATAATGAGCCTCCAGGTGGGCAAGCGATCATAAAAATATTATATAAATTATATTAACTTTGTCTGTCTCTAAAATAAAAAAGAAAATGTGATAACTTGATAAGCCATACTTTAAGGACATTTAAAAATAGTCGTGTGCTCTTAAAGCTAGTTTTGTGTTTGACCATGACCAGCCTTTGCACAGTGTTAGACATTCTCTGTAAAACCTACTGTTTAACTATACTACACTCCCACAATGGCCAACATAGAAATGTAAAACACCCACACAGTATAATGTTTAAAAATGTTTCTATTCCCCTGTTCACTGTGTCTTCTTCTTATGTCTTGCATGCCATCCGTCTGGACAAATCTGTTGTGTGAATAAGTACAAGCACACCCTCCTGCCCCTTTTACCCTCTTCATTGTCATGCAAACAATATTAAAGCAATAACTTCTATGTTTAAGTGTGTTTCCACCACATCAATATACTGTTAATATCAGAAATAAAAATATGTATGCATTCAGGAAATTTAATTTACAGATTTTCAGGGTTTTCTTTTTTGCTGTGCCATTGTTTTGATGACAGCCAAAACCTTAATGTTTTAGCCATAAAACCAGAAATTGCAGGACAGTGCATACTATATTACTACCATCAGAATCTACTACTAGAGAGAGAGAAAGCTGACTGAAATTGTATAAATAAATTATGTTTATATGATTTTTGAGCTATTATAAGCAGTTTTAACTTGAAAGTGGAGTATTAGAGTCTGGATTTTGCATCTTGTGATGATCTGTGAGAAAAACACACACATATTGAAGTGAAAACTGCAGTTTGGCTGCTGATGTAGTGTTGTAAGAGAAAATGTGAACAGATCTTTGATTCAGTTCTTCATATTGTTAGAATGAGCTGCCAAGTGCGACATGAAAATCCACAAGCAATAAAGGATTATTACGTATGTTTCTGCCTGAGATTCAATAAAAACTTAAAACCTTGCTCATGTACATTCAAAATGTGTTACCCTCTTTTCTCTGTGATGTGGGGTGGGTTTAAAAAAGGACATCCGCTGGAGAGGAAGATCAGGTCACTGTTACCTACTGTGGTCAGACACCTATAAAAATATTTGTGGTGTGTGATTATTTAGCAAAACATTTGCTACCACTGCACATTTTGACACACTGAATAAGCTGACACTATTTTTCATCACTAGCAGGGCTCTCAGGTGAAATCTGAGGGGAAAAATATTGACATCATTAAAAGTGCATGTTATTTAATGCAGTTTTCTTTTGCACTTTCACTACACAGTTAGGAGAGGAGCAGTGCTAGTCTGATGATACTGAACTGACTGTTGTAGTTCTTCTTTTTAGCCACAGAGTGTCACTGCTGCCTTTGCATTCTATGTGTCCAGACAAACTATCCAATCCAATATACAGTAAATATTATTTTCAAGTTTTATTTCATAAACAAAAGTTCAACCAAAAAGGGTGATCTAACAAAACACAGTCAACCACTAAAATATCAGAAAACACTCCACAGAACAGGACACACACAGACGAGTGGCAGGAGCAAAGTCAGCGTACTGTTTAGCCTTCAGTTACTTATTGTTTTTTAAATGTTTACATCCATAATTACCATTTGTTGGACAGCACCCACAGCACTGATGAAAAAGTAGCAAAGCAGTGATACTGTGTGATTTTACATTAAAGGGGTTATCTGATCCTTAAACATGGTGGAAGACCTTTTTTTTGTCTCAGTATCAGGTACAGTTGCTCACATCATGAAAATATGAAATGGTAGGATCCGTTTCACTTTCAAGTCTGCATCTGGTACCCTCTTTCTGAAAGAAATAGAGATCTAATAATTCTTGTGATTTTTACTAAAGAGAGCAACAATTTAGCTCTGTCTCTTGGTTGGCTGACCCTTCTTTTTCTCATCATTACCAACATATACTGGGGCACTGAGCTGGTATAAAAAACATACATAAGCATGCACTCATCATACAGTATTACCATTTTTCAGAAGGCCAGTGGTTGATTTAAGAACTGTTACAGCTAAACACATTTAAGTACCATTTCAAACTAATGTTTCTTTATTTGTATTTTGGTCTGTGTAATATAGACACTAAAGCTTCCCTGTGTTTTCTACCTCCGCCAAGGGCAGGAGTTATATTTCTGCTATTGTTTGTTTGTGTTAACAGTATAACTAAAACAGTAATGAACAGATTTTGATCAACAGAATAATTGATTCGATTTTAGTGCTGATCTGTGTCATAATTTAGATACAGGAATTCTTTAAAAATAATTCACCACTGTGAGTGCTGGAAAGGCTGCTTGACTGTCCATTCACTGTCAGTGAAAACCAAGTGCTGTCACTCATTACACCCTGCTGCGTGAGGCAGGCCCTGAAGGAGTCCAGCAAATGTGTGTGCTCGTTATCTGACCAAGCTAGCTCTATTAGCAGGCAGCTACATCTCATTGAGAGCATAGCAGCCCGTCGGTGAAGACGCTGGTGTTCCAGCTGCACATTATAGCTGCGTTTCCACTGTCGGAACTGAATGAGCTTCTCTGTGCAACAATCAGCCAGTAGCGGAGACTGTATAAAAAGTTTCTCAAGTGGCTGTCGAACAAGCAGAACACAAACTTGCAGAAATGTGACGTCTTCACGACTCACCGAAGCCCCTGTTTTACCCCTAGAACATTTTTCTTGAATAACTTTCAAAATAATAAATATATCAGCATCATTCCAAATGCCAGCAGTAGGTTTTCATGGTCAAGCAATCATACTGTGTAGGTCAAACTATCATGGCTTTTATGGCATTATGGGGAAACTGTGTTGCCCTTGGTGGAGGTTGCACTCTCTGAGTGCTGTCTAGTTTTAAATTTGTGTCTAACATCCATTACTGAAATACTCCAAACCTGAGTTGAGCTGTTTTAATGTGAAACTTATATTAAACAGTAAGTCAACAGTACCAACCATGTCATAAAGCACACTGTCTAGCTCCAGTAAATAAAAATAATCAACAAACCAGACCTGGTTGAAAGTGAAACACAAGTCCACTGAAATACTTGCAGGTTCTTCTGACTTACATAGTTGATGGTAGACATTTACTTTTACAGTAAATAACACGATGGTGTTTGTAAGATTTTACAGTGGCTCCACAGAATTTTGCTTTCAGTAAACAAAACCTGAATAGGCAGTTGCCATATGCAGTTAGCAGGATTTCTCTATAGAGACCACTAACAAAAATGCTGGATAATGTAACACTGTAAAGTGTAATCAGGGTGTTTATGTTTTTACTGCAACATTTCACACCAATAGTTACACTATGCAGCACAATCAATTCAAGTTATGTCAAGCATTTGAATGGATTCTGACTCTTCCCCAGGTCTGTCACAAATAAATATACAGCAACAAATCTCACAGTAGCCAGGTTTATAAATCTGTCAGTGACTGAAGGATCTGATTAGCTTAGTGTCTGAGTCCTGAAAATGCTATTTAGACTGAACAGGACAAAGGCTATAACATCCAGGTGAAAATCTGATATTATAGTATTTCTCAAGATGTTTAAAATTAAAATGGTACTTCAGCTTAGGTGTAAAATTAGTAGACAGCATTGAAGCAGCTGAAAAAAACTGCTGATATCAACTACTGACAGCACAACTCATTTACAGCACAATAATAATAATAATAATAATCAGAATTCATTCATCAGTAAAGACAGGGTTTGCTAAAACGAGGCCCGTAACCCTTCAAATGGGCCCCTCATCCAAAACCTGACCTCCAGCCCTTTATTAAAGAATCTAGACACTTAACAGGATATTAAAGGATTCAAAAAGTTCAGATATTGTTTGTCCAAGCCTAGAACCCAAGTCGAAATACAAACTGTAGAGCACAAACAAAGAACAAATCTCACTTTCTGGATGCACTGAAATCTCACAGTGACTGCTGATCAATCTATTTGGATCCTCTAGTATCTGATAAAAAAAAGTCTAGAAAGCAGAAAGAGTTGAAATGTTTTCTGAACCTCAGTAAACCGAAGCAGATGGTCATGGTTTTTTGGGTTGGATTTCAGAGGGTTTGAGGGTGAAGACGGTTATGAGACGAGGTTTCAGAAAGATGATGGAGGTCGAAGAGGAACAGAAAATTGAAGGTAGCCGTGGTTTCTACACATCTGTCCGAGACTTAGGGATGATGGGCCCTCCCTCAAGCCTTCTCTTTCTTACTGTAGTTGGAGAGACACAGGAAGAAGAACAAAAGAAAGAGAAAGAGAAACAGGTGAAAGGATGTGAGGAGAGGAGGAAAGAAGGGAGACAGGTATAAGAAGGAAAAAAATTTAAATTAGAAGCCCTGAAATGTTTATCATCACCATCTTTAACAAAAGCCAAGCAAGTTGGCCTGCCTTTTTTACTTTAGATGAAGCCGGAAGCAAGGCAAATGAAAATACAGGGGAAGCTTTCAAAAAGCAGGAAAGAAAGATTGCAGGCACTTTTCTTCAAGTGACTGAAGTAGATGACCTTAAAGAGTCATTGAAACAAACAAGCATAAAGAACAGGAGAACGAGGTAGGCTGGTGATGAGAGCAGGGCTGGATTAACCCACTATAGGGCCCAATATTGAGGTAAAAGTCCCCCACCCCACCCTATATAGAGAGTGTGAAGCTGACATCACACCATGTTGAATTTTGGGTAAATGTGCCATGTTTGGTGCATCACACTCATTATCCATCATAGATATATACGTAACATACATCTATATGTTAATTAAAAAATATTATCCCATACAGTTCCAGTACAGCACTGGAAGCTTCAACTACATCCCAGTTTCAGTTTGAGGACAGACAAAACAGAAACGGACTGATCTGCAAAGTTTGTGTCATCTGCCGACAGCTGCTAGCTAGCATTAGCTCCTGAACTGAGAGCTGAAATGAGAGTCATTTTTCAGCCTGTTGCTCTCGTCGTCAGGATGTCGAGGTCCACTTTGAGTTAGATACAGTCAGCTAAGGTTATCCATCTTGAATTACCATAATCAGTAAAGTGAGATCTAAATGATTTAAGCAACTTTTTAACCAAACAAAACAAGAATCTATGCAGGTAAATACAGCGTGTAACTCCAAAAACGGCACCCCTGTCCCAACATTCAATACGGCGTGACATACCTTATAGGACCCCCAGATGGAAAGAGATGCAAAAGATTACTCATTTTGTGTCTCCTTGTGGTTGTTTTCTATCTTGTTGCGGCCAGTCTGAAATCATGAGTGTCTTTGCAGTCATTTTGCATCACTTGGTGGTTGTGTTGCCTCTCTGAGGTCATTTTGTGTCTTAACTGAACTTCATAGAGACTGCATTTCATCATCCGGCCTGCTTGATAATCCATCCTGCACCAGGGCAGCTACCCAGTTTGCCTGGTTGGTAATCCATGAGAGCAGCTTTTATAAGAGAGGAGGAGATCCCAAAAGTTCAGCAGAGAATGTAGAATTTCTGCAGAAAGTGCAGGAATGATAAAAATACCAGACAAGGAACAGAGAAAGATCCAAGTAAAAAGGCCACAGAGAAGGATAATACAGGCATTATAGCCAAAGATTAAACAGCAGCACAGATTTTCTAATTGGAAGGCGATGTGAGAACAGTAGACAGTTTCATCCTGTCTAATTCGATTTCAAAGGCACAACATTATGGATGCTGTTATCCAGTTGGCAATTCAGTGACTTGCTCAACAGAATGTCACTAGGACATACAACAGAAACAAACCTGTGCTTTCTATTGGCCATTTTGGGATAATAATCTTAATATGTGGGGCTTATTTTTTATAATTCAAAAATAAAGGTTATTTTATTCTTGCAGCAACATGAGTGATATTTCTCAGTCAGGATTACTTTTGTTTTGCTTTAGTTGTTATGAAAAGAGTATAGTGTTTTCTGATTCTTTTAGATAGCGGATACATTTATTTCCCGGCTTTTGGCTCTGCCAGATTTCAGGATTGTCCAGTTTCTTGTCTTTTTGGACAGGGGGTTCAAAATATCGAGAACATGAGGCAAGAAAAAACAATCTGATTATAACAAGGACTGGAGAGCAACAGCAGCTAAGTTTGGGAGAAACTAAGTGGCCTTTGCAACCAGCGATGACTAGAAGAGGAGAAGGAAAGTGATGAGGTGGTGTGGAAAAGCAACAGAAACTCTCAGCGGAGTATGACAGGAGGTGGCAGCGCGCTAGGAAAACAACCAGGAGAGTTTGGCACAAGAAAGACTAGGCTGAGGGGTTATACGGTGCTGTGCTTGTGTTTCAGCTGTTTTCTTTACTTAGTCTTGGACTTGAACTTTTTCCCGAAGGCCCTCTCCAGCTCAGGAACAGACAGAGTGAAGGTGAAGGAGCCATCGGACTCCGACCTGACGGCCCGGGCTTAAAGATGACGAGGGAAGGAAACATTGTGAGAAATGATGACACATACTTCATTTCAAATAGTTTGTGACACAGTATGAGCAGATTATAAAACCAACAGAAATAAAACAGAATTTAACTCTAAAGGAACAGAGCTGAATATACTGTATTTCCTACCAGGCTATTGTTATTGCAACTCAGGTACCACTTCACTGACTGTCTCTCTTTTTCAATGCTTTGAACACTGAGGGTAAACACAAAACCTCGTCCAAATTAATGAGATCAAGTAATGATGCCTTCCATGTCCAAAGGGCTACCGACTCCATTTTGTAAGGCCACAGTTTATCCACTTGTCATACAAAATCACCAGCATGATTGGTGCATAGAAAGAAAGTCTTCCTCAACTACTTTTATTTTGTCCTCTCTCTCATGCAATCAGCCTTTTCTTAGTACTGATGTCATAACTTAGGAAGGCTCTGGTTTGATTGGCCGGGGCCTTCTGGCTGCACTACTGAGTCAAGGGCCGATGATATCACTGTTTCTTCTATTAGAGCCTGATTAAAGTAGAACTCAATGAGATATAGTGAAGATAAAGTGTCAGCACTGACGCATGTAACAGCCAGCGCCACCGACTGAAATACTACAGAAAGACTGTGTACAAGTTCTGGAACCAGTTAAAGCATAGTGAGGTGACTCCATCATCAAATACTGTATAGACTTGAAATGTTACGTTTGAGTCCAGCCCAAGGATTTTTGTCATGTTCCCAAATCGGTTTCTGTGTGTGTGTGTTCATTAATCTGCTCCCAAGACTCAGCGTGTTGTGTGTGTAACCCACCCAAGTCGTTGTTGCTCATCATGGCGTTGGAGCCTCGGAGGCGTGGCCCCTGCTGGGTGAAATGGTAGCCAAACTTCAAAAGTGTGGTGTTTTTCTCAAGCATGCTGGCGATCTCCATCTCCACCTTGTTGCCCAGTGGCTGGCTCTGGAGTTTGCAGAGAGAGGGAAGGGTGAGGAACGACAGGGACGGATGTTGAGATGGACTGAGTGGGGAAAATAAAATGATTTGTGGCAGTGAGATAGAAATGTTAGGGGAAAGGTGAGTCAAAGAGAGACAAAAGGCATTCACAAACTGAACACCAATGTCTGGATACAGCGGTGACCTCTATGGCAACAGAGGATGAAGTGCCGGGGGGAAACCAGCTATTCCAGCCTCAGTTTTATATAAATGACTCAATCACTGTGGCCAAATGGAAAAGAAGTACATGAGAAAGGTGACAAATCAGAACCAAATGAGTTATTTGAACTCATCAGTGAGTGGTGAGTCACAGACGCAAAACTACACAGTATGACACACCAGAGCGCAATCTAAGAGGATTAGACTGAAGTGGCAAAGATGGCCTATGTACATTACCCAACACACTTACCCACACACACATTTCTGTGTGTAATGTGTAAACAAGTCTGCATGTACTCTATGTACTGTAAGTGGGTTGTGTGTATCTGTTTGTACCTGATTGTCTATCTTGAGCTCCTGTAGTGTGGTGTTATACTGCAGTGACTCTATGAGGGCCAGGATTCCAGTCCCTGTAACGAAGTTGGACTCAACGTTCAGGCTCTTAAGTGTTGTGTTCACCTTCAACATCTCCGCCAGGGCCTGAGGAAACACACAACACACACCGTGTCACTCACTGCTTTGCAGACATTTGCTCATATGACTGGTTTATTAGGTACAGTAGTAAAAAAAAAAGCAGGAAGTGGTAGAGGGATGATATGTAACGTAAGTTATCAGGAAGATCCAATCCCCACTACATCTAGTTTAAATGATGCCTCCCGCCCTTTACACAAGAAATGTTAGCTTCTTCCCTCTGGACTGAGGTTTTTAGTTCCAAGGTGTGGAACAAAGCATCACTGAAATGAATAAGCTGCAATAATATTTGTTACTTATTTAGTTGAGTGATTATTATTGTAATTTCTCCCTCTCATATATGTCCTGATCGGTGGAGCCTTGGGGGCGGCTGTGGCTCAGGAGGGAGAGCGGGTCGTTTCCTAACCGGAGAATTAGCGGTTCGATTCCCGGCTTGTCCAGTCAACATGTCGAAGTGTCCTTGAGCAAGACACTGTACCCCCAGTTGCTCCCGGTGATGTCACCGGTGTGTATATGTGTCTGTGTGTGTTTGGGAGTGCGAATGGGTGAATGGCCAAATAGTGTGAAAGCGCTTTGAGTGAGCTGTAAAGCATAGAAAGGCGATATACAAATATAAGACCATTTACCATTTGAGTACTTTTATCATGCTGTCTTGTGTCATATTTGTTTGTGTGTTATCTTGCTGCAAAACAAATCTACCTACAGGTACAAATAAAGTAACCTAACTATCTTGATGAAAATGTTATCAGCTATACAATATAATACTGTTTTATTAGTGCCATTATCACAGTACCTGACAACAAACAAAGGTGGCTGCTTGAGAAAGTACCACAACACATGATTTCTTCCAACCAACATAGGATTTGCAAGTGTAGAGATACTTAAAATGAATGCCTTGAAAAAGAAAAGCGTGTTGGAATAACAGTATAACACAAGCAGAGAATGTGTCTCTAGATGCAGTGCTACCCACAAACCACCAGATACGAGATGAGTTTAACTTCTGATCCTCTGTACTTCAGAGAAATGGAGCATTGCAGTGTTACAACTATGACTTACAAAGGCTACAGGGTCGTTGCTTCGGGTTCCTACAATACTGAACCTCTCCACCACAGTGTTCTTCATCAGAGCCTCAGCATACGCCTTCAGAGTCGGGATGGGGATGTTCTGTGTACAGAAAAACACAACGCCAAACATATTGCAATTCACTTCTTCTCAGATCAAAAAAAAACAGTTCCTGAGACATTTCGATTGTAATGTTTTTTTTTCAGGAGATTCTGCTTCTGTGATTTTGTTAATAGTTAAGCTGTTGTTGTCTGCACTGCACCTCTGAGGCAACAAACGTTACATACATATTATAGACAAAACTGATGGTGTAACATTAAAAGTATTAAAATATTTTGTTCATAAAATGCCTAAAATAACTAAATTTTTTATTTAAATTAGTTTATTTCTTGAAAAAGTAGCTTTTGTCTGAAAATTAAAATCTGAAAACAATGTTTTGCACTGATATATGTATTAATAATAAGTATTATTATTATTATGTTAGCCTGACAGAGTTTCATTTAGAACAGAAGTAAACCCAAATCAAAGCCTGGTGTTACTGACTCTGTAAACACAGCATTAAACTCAAATCCTCTTGTCAACATGGTATGAACACACACACTTACCCTGATGTTGTTGAGGTTGACCTCGACCAGGTCAGGGTCATTCCTCTTTATTCTCAGCAGAGTTTCCTCTACATCAGTGGAGTTGGGTTCCTCATCTGGGACTGGTTTATACTGGGTGCACTGGATCACACCTGGGATACAAAAGAATTACAGTGCACCTCTTATGTACAACAGCACAAGGTGTGTGGGAACAACACGCATTAACATGTCTGTAGTGTTTTCCCTATTTGAATCGCCTTCATTAGAAGTTCAGGTCTACCAGTTTCCAGATCTACTTGAGCCAACACTATAAACAGTATTACCTCAATAGTTGAGACCTGAGAGCCTGTTAATGCTTCTGCCTGCAGTTCTTGCCAAACTAAACATCTCTGTCTATATTGCTCATGGAAGGTTTGCCACAGTCAGCGATGACTGGCTGGCTCAGACGTAAACGTTCTCAGGGCATGTCATCCCTTAACTTACAAAATCACTATAAAACATTTACTTTGTTTTTTAAGTAACTTTTAATGTTCCAGCATATATGCTAACCATTTGTAAAAGGACACCATAGCATATGTTATTTTGTTTATCTGACTCAGTTTTCCATTATTTATCATATGGTATAAAATAAACTTCTGCATTAATCTTAATGAATTTGCAACTTTTACTAAAATACTAAAAGTGACAGTTTACTATTCAAAATCCAAGCAAGTTGAAAGTCCCTTAATATTCCTTTTGTGTGGCAGTGAAATGACCAAAACACCTTTTGCTAATCAATTCAGGAGGTAATTAATATCTGGAAGTGAGATGCTCAGTCTCTGCATGTTCTCTCTACGTATCTACCTGTGTACTTAGTACTTTTAATGTGTACATCTGTTTAACTTGTGCAACTATAAGTGAGCATGGATGAAGCACAAACAGATTGAGCCTATTATCTTAAAATGGTAAAACAAAGATCCTGCCAACATGAGATCACTTCACTTCATTCCAGTCCAAGTCAGCTCAAGGCAACATTTTTCTGGAGTGAGGTGATATTCTCTTCAAACCAGCTGAGTGATCTGCTGCATCTCAGGTTGTTTTTTTACTCGTTTCTCAAAAATCCATGCACCAGCTGTATCTGTGTTTAAATCAAGTGAAGACAGCCTGGGCAGCTGGCTGATTTCTCCAACCAAAGACTCAGTAACATATAGTAAAATAAAAGAATACAGTGCGTACTGTTGAGGCCTTGCTTGTTGACTATGGTGCTGCTGGCCAGGGCTTCATAATACTGCTGGTTACTCATCAGGGTGTGCATGCCCAGGATGGCTGGAAGACAGAACAAGGATGTAAAGAATGAAGGGAATGGACAGTCAGGAAAGGAGGAGAGAAGGGGATGATGAAAAAGACTGTTTTGCTACTGTACAGCTAAACAGAGGCCAACCATGCTAATACAGACAGCATAAAAGTACTTGCAGCCTTACAAGCAGGTCAAGCCAGAAACTCCCAGTTTTAACAATTGCGAGGTCTCAGGTGCCATAGTTTAATAGAATTGTCTTCTGCAGACAGAGCTGAGGTCATGCCCTCTGTTGGCTGACTACAGGTCAGTATGACACCCCCTAATGGCTGTTAAGGTATCAGCCTGTGAAGCCACACAACAAAGACCTGGCAGCAGTGAATCTGACAATTATCATCTTGTTGGTTTGTGAGAAAACAGACATAAACAGGGAACAGCAGCTACCAAGTTGCTCTTAGTAGACAGGGGATTGTTTTTTATCCTCAACAACTGCTAAGGACTAGCTGTGCTCCTGAAATTCTTCTCATTTTCAATTTTTGTGCGGTGTTGTTACCACGGTGATAAATTTCTGCTACTAATGACAGTAGCGATGTGGAGCGGAGACTTTGGCAGCGGTTAAAACAAAATGCGTCTACATACTGTAAAAATATGCTGCTCACAAAGCTATTTAATGCAATGACCTTTCACATGTTGACTAAAAAAATGGCTTCTCCCTGTCAATAAATTTTCAAAACCTTATTTTCAATAGCAACAGGCTTTATTTGCTGGGACTCGCATTGTAATGAATTAACGCCTGTTTGTTGTTATGATGATCCAATTTATCAAAATAAATGTTAAAGGTAAATGAGACCTCATACTCTTAACTGCAGTGTATAAACTGTATACATGTTGTCAGTCACTGATACATTATGGCAATGTACTGAAAATGTGCACATGCAACACAATGTTTGCCACAGTAATGACATCTGTCATGCATTACACAGACTCTGGCTGCGAGCGCAGCTGCATGGTTTTGGCTAAATGTTTGTTTGTACACAAGCTTACAATGTGAACATGCAAACGCCGTGTGCAGTCTACAGGTACCCCGGATGGCGTTCAGTTAGCGAGCACAGAGATCCAGCAGGGATAGTGGGGATGAAAGGACTGATGGAAAGCTGAAGGGGAAGGGTCGAGAGAAGGTGGAGTGAGAGCTAGAGGAGATGAAGAAGAGTTACACTGAGGGAAGGTTTATTCACAAGGGCAGGATGGTGTGTTTACACTGACTAATGTAAGGAGATGTGCAAAGGATGAAGATGAACACCTGCATTTTAGTATATTTAACAATACACATCAAAATTATGAATATCATGCAGCAGCGTCTATGCATGTATTTGAGTATATACTTTATAAGTGAGCGTTATTAAAAAAGTTGGGTCAAAATCAGATTAAAAAATGAATGTAATAGCCTGGTGATAACAAAAAAAAGCTGTAAATCTTATGTATATATACATACAGTATGCATCTGTGAGGAGATGTGTTCGAAGGCGTGAGTGTGTATGTTACCTGCAATATCACACAGTTCAGCATCAGTAGCACTAGCCAGGGCTTCTTCTAGTTCCGGCTCCAGAGTCACACTCTCTATAATGGGGTCCACTAGATTACAAGTACTGCTACTACTATAATCACTAGTACCACTAGCATTACTGTAAATCCTGGCTAATAACAGCTGACAGATACTTTATGTCCCCTTTATGAATGACAGCTTCCCTGTACTTACACAGGTGTTTTAACTTAAACTTGACACTGTACTGTTACTCAGGTCGAAGCTGGGCGGAGCTTTGCTATTCTTGAGTGTCAAACAGCCATAGAAAAAACTCTGGGAACTTCACAGTTTACTTGGTGCTAAACAATTCCTAAGTCAATAGGAATTACAGAGACAGCGAGACTTGTTAAAGAACTTAATTTGAAATATTGTATATATAACACTTGGTGCAAATGTCAAACTGATGTGAAGTAAATGTGAGCCAGAGCCAGTCCTGTTGCCCAAAGCAGCTCTCTTACATAACAGCTGAGTCATACAAGGTGCATGTGGCCTCATGTCATATCTGACTACATGCTGTCATCACTGACTGAATGTAAAGACCCTGAAATGTCTTTCTCTTCTGATAGGTCTGCTATGTCTCTTTGTGTGAGCATGATCAGCTCCCCGTGTTTCAACCGGACATTTCTGACCCCCATTCAAACATAAGTCAGGAGCAGCGGAGTCATGAGTTCGGGCTGGAGAACAGTTGGCGTCTGGGAGTCCACCAAGTCCACTCTCGATTCAGGGTAGAACTTAATTTCAAAACATTGTTTAGCTCACGCTTAGAGTTGTGTGACAAGTAAATATCAAACTGATTAAATTCTTACAAAGGAGCAAACTGTGGTGAGCTTTGTCTCTGCATGAATGGAGAGTGACCACGAGGGGAGCAGTAAATAAAAAACACAGCGTGGCTGTGAGTGACATGATGACAGAAAGCTTTGAATCTGGCACTTCCACAAGAAGAACCATAAGTTAAATGCCTTGCTCAAAGGCACCCTGACTGTGGATACGGATGGGCAGCAGATTGTTAAACATTCACCAACCTACACCGGCAGTTTTACTGCTGGTCTGTGAAACTCTGTGTGAAATCTTCTATAGTACTGGGCTTATTATTTATGATGATACTTTTTTTTATCATTTTTGATTTTTTTCAATACATCTACAAAATTGGAGGCTCCATCTTCCCTTTAAGCTCAAACTTTGGTAACACCATTATCTTTAATATTTAGGGAAACCAAATAACATGGACCTTCCATGCGTCACCAGTGCTTCCACCCAGGGATAAACAACTTTTCATCTACATAGATATAGTATGAGTAGAAAAGCCCCTACCTCTCTTCTCCCCTGTGAACGGCACCAGGTCTTCTCTGTCAGGATGCTCCTTGGCTTGTTTCTCCAGATGGGCCAGGAGGTCATCTCTCTGAAACGTTCCCGTCGGAGCTTTCTTAGTCTGGTCCTTTTGCCGCATCCCAGCTGGCAATAGTGCATTCTAGACAAGGACAGGAGATTACATCATTTAATGGACTGGAACTGGGCATTAGAAAAGTGAATTTGTTTTTCCCTAGTTTGTCTCGCTTCTCTCTTCCTGTCTTAATAGTTTAGACCAGTCATATCTAGCAACATCAGTGCAGAACAAATCTCTCCAGGATTTCCTCCTTCCTAAAGCAACACTACACAGTAAAACAGTAAACCACTATACAGTATATCTTCCATTATAGTTGATGTTACATGGTTTGTGGTTATGTGAGTGGAAAGGATTTAGTCTTTAATTCGGAAGAAGCAACAGTACAGGACATGTGACTGATGTGAAATGATGCACTGTTCTCTACATGTATCTAGACAATAACACCAAATCAATTTTAAAAAGAGGAAAGAAGTTAGCAGTTGGCAAGTTTAAAGGACAAGAGCACACAACCCCAGTGAAAGAAGATACTCACTTCATTCACAATACCATAAAAATATGTCAAAGACTCATTTAAAAAAATTTTAACATATTATAGGAGAGAGATGTAGAAATGCAACATATTTCAGTCTCAAAGCAAACTCATCTAGATGTCAGGATGGTGGTACTGTACATTATCTGTGCTCTGGTTAATGTAACTCTCACATGAGGACCTCTCTCTATTCTATGCCACAGGACCAAGACGATTCCCAGAGTGTTGCTGCACAGCCTGAAGCAACATTTAAAACCAAGCCCCTTCAAAGCGCTACTTATAGCGTCATATCTTATCGGTCCTCTCTGCACTCAAGAGGCCGTTCTCTGTCTCACTCATTCATTTTGCTTGTCACTCATCTGCCTTCAGTCATTTTTAATATGAAGCTTCCAAAAACCCACCAAATAATTTAGTCAGATCACATTAACATGATCATCTTTAATGATGAAGTTTAAATAAATAAAAAAAACTCTCTCTCAGCACTTCCAGCAGTGGTCCAGAGTCCACAGTAGCATTTCTAGTAAAGCTAAGTATATATCACACCACCGTTAATGCTAATCTTTCTATGCCTCACAGCTCTATTAGCTAGAGATTACTGGACTCTTACACTCCTGTAGCGCAGCTTAAAGTGTTGAGGGTGAGGAACAAATGCCAACACTGTCATTTTCTGTGATTTTAGAAATATCACCAGTGATCTACGGTATATGTGATTTGTATTTACCCAGTACAGATCAAATCTAATTAAAATATTAAAAGATCTCAGAGTTCAAGTAACACCCACAGGGATGTGAACATGGTCTTGGCTGTACTGTGTGTATGACATTTATCTCACAGCTGGCAGATTTTTGTTTTTCTGTCCAACATGACGGGGCTTTTTCAGTGGCTTACTGGAACTGATGTGAGGAGCTGCTGGGAAGGTTACAGCGTGCTCCAAAGGAAAAGGGCACTTTACTGTTGTGCAACAGGTTACCCACATAAACAGGCACAAACAAGGTAAGCACAGACGCACTGCCTCTCACGGTTTCTTCTGGTTATGTCATGAGTCCCTCGGGTCACTCACTGCTGGCCTCGGTCTCTCTAACACACACACACACACAGCCCTGCACATGATACCCTTCCAGCTATTTCTTTGGCAATGAGAGGGGCTCCAGTCCCTTTATGAACAGTTAGACATCCATCAGGAAGCTATTACAGCTGCTGTCACCGCCTTAACCCCTGATATATCACTGAGGGTATGAAGTTGGTGGAAGATGTATCAAATGTAGAGATAAACACAGCAGCAGAAAATACACACAAGCATAACTGATGTACTGTTCCTAATGTGTCACGGCCAATACAATACAGTGAGTACACTCAGTACAACCTGAGAAATACTATAAATGACAGAGAAAAGGTGACTAAACATAAGACAACCAGACTAATTAAGGGCAGGGTACTCTTTAAAAATCTCTTTGTTTCACTTTAGCCTTTATAAAGTGTCTCCTACACTTGATCTCTTATTTGACTAATAGTTTCAAATGGATTCATGAATTCATTATTTCTTTAGACAAATTATCCATAAAATATCAAAAATAGCAATAAATGGTAACTGTGACATCTTCAAACTTTTCTGTGTGTGCATGTCTGTGCGCGCATTAGCATAGGTTACCGACCCCGCCAATGCCCAGAACAGTGCATGAGGCAGCAGGGCCGTGTGCACACATCTCAAATCACATAGAAATGAAAAGGAGAAGCTGAGAAAGCCAGGCATGCTATAACAAAAATCTAAAGACAGTGGAACAACGAACTGCAAAACAAAGAAAAACTTTAGTTGTGAAGTGCTGAACAACAAATGAGCTGCCATATTCAGTAGCGTCAGTAGTGGATGTAAAATAAAACAAAAAGACGCACAGGATGATCTTACTCGTTCAGTGAACACTGTATAAGGAGAAGGGTGCACAGCTGATGAATGAAAAAGATGGTCTGAGCTCAAATCTGAGGCAACAAAGTGAAGACGGAAGACAGACGCTGAGCAGTGAGGAGGACAGGCTGGCCCTGTTGGCTGCTGCAACCGCTTAATTCCATATGGCCAGTTACAGGTTTATTTCAGATGTTACAGTTCTGACCAAATCACTGCACGCCCTCAAACAACAATTTGAACGTTTCTCCTATTGTCTTAAGTATATTGTAAAAAACAGTGTAAACCAAAATATGTGGGTCATCATATACACTCAGGACATCATCTTCTATGTGATTAAAGGCAGTAAAAGAATACAGACTCTCACCAGTCTATGATCACATTGTTCAGTAGTACTAGCTGCCCATTAGACTCTGCATTGGCTGGTTTTGTCTACACAGCATTCAAAGCCCATGAGCTGCCACTGAACCAATACTGCAGAAAACATCATACCCAGCCATTTACTGTGTATGTTCAAGGACATTAAACACACAACACAGTGCGACTGGCTAAAAAGAGAAATTACCCACTAACAATTGATGATTCAGTTAAAAACAAGAACCTTTAGCTGTAGCGATATACGGTGTACTGCAGTATACTACATCAGGGAACTCTGCTGAGCCTGTATGACCCTGGAGCTCTCCATCAACACCAACACAGCCACAGGAATGGTGTATTATGGGCTTTAGAGACTTACGTCAGGATCCAGCTCCTCTAATTCATCCTCTAACCGCTGCAGCTCTTCCTCCGAGAGCTTCTTCAGCAACTCGTCCTCGTCGACATCCCTGTACTTCTCCATCTCTTTCCTCACCACCGACATGATGGACAGCACGCCTGCACAAATTAATGATGTTACTTCAAAAAGATACAAGGCGGGTGATACACAAATTTAAAGCATAAGTGCCTGGTTGAACTTTGTTGGAGGATTACAGGACGTCAAATGTCAGCAGCATTGAGCTAAAAATAAATTCTGAATTATGGCAGTAAGAGTTGCTTTCACTGTATCCTAAAATACTGATATTATTTTTAACTTTCCATCCATCCATCCATTTTCCTCCGCTTATCCGGGACCGGGTCGCGGGGGCAGCAGTCTAAGCAAAGATGCCCAGACTTCCCTCTCTCCAGACACTTCCTCCAGCTCCTCCGGGGGAGTGCCGAGGCGTTCCCAGGCCAGCTGAGAGACATAGTCCCTCCAGCGTGTCCTGGGTCTTCCCCGGGGCCTCCTCCCGGTGGGACATGCCCGGAACACCTCCCTAGGAAGGCGCCCAGGAGGCATCCGAAACAGATGCC